GAGGACTGGGGGGCGTCCCGTCGACCTGCAGCTCGACCGGGAGGTCGACGAAGCAGTTCTGGTCGACGGAAGGGGTCCGTCGACCAGGGGGTAGCTCGACGGGAACTGTGGTCGACCAGAAGGGCCTGGTGGTCGACCGGAGGCACCTGGTGGTCGACGGGGAGCACCTGGTGGTGTCCAGGTCGACCGGGTAACCTGCTCGACGAGTTCTGCGGAGGCACGCGAACGTCGTCGAGATCGCGATGGCGAAGGCGACTGCGGGCTGGTATCCCGAAGTCGATGTGGCTCGTCAGGCGCAGACAACAGCCGACGGATGCCCAACGAGGCAAGTCGGGCCAATCGTCTGCGCGCACCTGTGAGCATGCGCATTGCTGTCTTCTACGGGGCAACGCTGGACCGCCGCATTGCTGCAGCGTTGGCACGCCGTCGACCGGCATTGTTGGCAGGTCGCTCTTCTGCAGTGCTGGCGCGGCTCCTCTACGCAACGCTGGCACGCGGTCGACCATGCAGTGCTGGCGGTCGACCAGGCTAGCTGCAGAGTTGCTAGGTGCCTGATGTAGTCAGTTCTGTCATTGCTTGTTGATTCATTCTGTAATTCCAACTTTGCTAGTGGAAACTCTTGCCAATTTCTCCCGTGAATGTGCAAGCACTAAGGAACCAAGCAAAGCTACGATCACTCCTAGTAGTTCGTGCCAACCCCCGTAGTCTAGCTCACTACCGTTGTAGAGTGGATCTCCGCAGTAGCTGCCTAAAATTTGGAAGGGAAACTCGAACAACCCTCAACACCTTGTTGTTTGGTAGGTGTTACGACGTGTTGCGACCCAACAGGTTCGGGTTGGGTCGGGTCGACAAGGTCGGGTAACCCGACCCGACCCAACCCAACGGAAAGGCGACTCGAGAAAACAATGAATTTTCGTTGTTTTCTTTGCAAATTCGACGTAATGAGAAAGCAATTGCTGCGCGGGTGGAAGGTGGTCTGGGCAATGTTTGGCGATATTACCTGATATTTTATTGTTATGCGAGATACAGGCGACATCCGCGCGAGAACCACAGAGTTCGCAGGCTCAGATAACGTGCTCCAGCTCGGTTGGGTTGGGTTTGGTCGGCCTGGTTGACCCGACCTGGTTGACCGGCTCGGTTTGGGTCGACCTGGTCGGGTAGACCCGCGACGCAGCCTTCCTAGAAATTTGTGATCGGGGGTTGGTCGACCCGACCTGTGTGAGTCACAACACGCCTTTACTGACGTTAGGTAGCAGTGGGCGATCAATGACGCGCCTTTCGTTTTCAGGGCGTTGTTTAGAAGGTGTCTCATGTGACTGGTCCGCCCCGAGCTGGTCCGCTGCAAAAAAATGCATGCCTGGTCCGCAATTCTGGTCCGACAGACATACTTCGCGGACCAGCCGTGGGCCACGCACGAGCTGGTTTACGTGAGACATCGCGTCACGGGCTGTACAATACTAGCGAATAAAAATCAGTATCTACGAAAATCAGACATGTTGAAATTGAGTTACCTCTTTTTTCTGCCCCGTAAAAATTCCCCATCCTGTTTGGAGCGACAATCACGAGTGGCGAGAATTTTCGCAAACAGCCGCGTGAGCTGCTACAGTTACGGACCAGGCGCGGGCTGGTCTGGCGATCAGTTCAGTGGCACCGTTGCACTGTATGCTAGTTGAAAGTTTTTATCGGGGTTAATCTCGGTCCAGTCCGCCGCTGGTTCAGGCTTGGTTCTTGAGCTGGTCCGCCAGATCCGCGTCGGACCCACGTGGACCCGCACATTTGAGACACGTCCTTAGTTGCCCCGCACCAGGTGATGCGCGCATCATTGATGCGCCAGATTGCTAGGACGGGGAAGACCTCACCCGAATCCCTCCGCGAAACCCACTTCGCCCCTGCGGGTTTTCCTCGGAGGGATTTTGGTTTCCCCGCAGTCGTCTAGCGGGGCACGCGAGGGGCGGGAGCCGACCCCTCAGCCCGCCCAAATCGAGCCCCGCCAGCTCGGAGTGGTCCCCGCACGAGCTGGCGATGACGCCAGCTGCTCCCCCACGTCCGTCGAGGAAATCCGCCTCCGTCGACGGATTCCGTCTAAACTCGACGGAAAGTGCTGCAGGGAAACTGTGGCAGTAACGCGCCACAGAGCAATTCGATACAGAGCACAGCTGCAACTGGAATAAAAGATTTTACGTAAACTAATTAAATACATAAACTGCAATGGGCAAACTTGATAAGGAATAGGAGGCCCTGAGAAACAAGGGCAATCACTAAAATTCCTATTAATAGCTCTATCACCAATTTCAATATTATTAATGCTTCAGAACTGTAAAGAAATATTTCCATCCATATCGTTATTTCAATAATTGTTAACATCTCCATTGACGTTGGATTATGCTCTCGTCTGCACATTAATCGGCTTGGTACTTTTGCTGAAAATCATTGAATACCCAGGCCTGAATTAGAACAACTAATAACAACATGATACGATAGTATACGAAGGAGGTGCAGGTCGACGGTCGCACCGCCAGACACATTGCGCAGATGTCAGGTAGGACATGTGTCGACGATTTCGCTACCCGTGCGCCATAGAGCAAGTGATGATGTTCCGCAGGTCGGCTTTTCTAAGACCTCCTGGGCGACTTTCGCACAGAAGCCGAGTATTGCAGTCGAGTAACTTTCATCACCCAGCTCGACACTGCTTGGTCGAACATCGTTCGCCAAGACCACCTCGTCGAGTAGAGCACGTCGAGCAGTGCCCATCGAAGGGCCCCGTCGACCACTATCGTGCACTAGCAATGCGGAGATTCACTCTACAACGGTAGTGAGCTAGACTACGGGTGTTGGCACGAACTACTAGGAGTGATCGTAGCTTTGCTTGGTTCCTTAGCACTTGCGCATTCACGAGAGAGATTGGCAAGAGTTTCCACTAGCAAGTTGAAATTACATAATGATTCAACAAGCAATGACAGAATGACTACATCAGGCACCTAGCAACCCTGCAGCTAGCCTGGTCGACCGCCATTACAGCTCGGTCGACCGCCTGCCAGCGTTGCGTAGAGGAGCCGCGCCAGCACTGCAGAAAGGCGACCTGCCAACATTGCAGGTCGACGGCGTGCCAACGCTGCAGCAGAGCGGCTGTCCAGCGTTGCCCCGTAGAAGACAGCAGTGCGCATGCTCGCAGGTGCGTGCAGACGATTGGCCCGACTTGCATTGCTGTGCATCCGTCGGCTGTTGTCTGCGCCTGACGAGCCACATTGACTTCGGGATACCAGCCCGAAGTCGCCTTCGTCATCGCGATCTCGACGACGTTCGCGTGCCTCCGCAGAACTCGTCGAGCAGGTTGCCCGGTCGACCTGGTCGACCACCAAGTGCTCTGGTCGACCACCAGGTGCCTCTGGTCGACCACAGCTCCCGTCGAGCTACCCCCTGGTCGACGAATCCCTTCCATCGACCAAAAATGCTCCGTGGACCTACCGGTCGAGCTGCAGGTCGACGGGATGCCCCGCGGACCTCCCGGTCGAGCTGTAGGTCGACGGGATGCCTCGCGGGCCTCCCCGTCGAGTTGTAGGTCGACGGGATGCCTCGCGGGCCTCCCCGTCGAGTTGTAGGTCGACGGGATGCCTCGCGGGCCTCCCCGTCGAGCTGTAGGTCGACGGGATGGTCCGCAGACCTCCCCGGACGGCCCACCCGTCGCCCAGGCCGGTCAATTGCAGCTGTCGAGCTCCCTGGTCGACAGCAACGCCACAACGGTCCCATGCGGCTCGACGTAGCCTGTCGAGCAGCTCTCCCACTGTGAACGACCAGATCCCGTCTAGCAGAGCCTGCGCTAGGAATTCCGTCGTCGAGTGGATTCCGTCGTCGACCGGATCCCGTTCTGCGGTAGTAATCTCCTGCGTTTTAGAGCGAACCGATGTGAAAGTAGGTGTTGCGTTGATACGTCATAAAAAGAAGTGTTGTCGAAGAGAGTTTGAACAAGAATCCCTGCCATATGTGAATTACCGACCTTTTCAAGTGGTGTAAAAATCATACAATTTAGAAAGCTAGAGTTTGTAGAATATAATATATATATATATTTTTGTGTTTCCTACATAGAAAAATATGGTCTGTTCAATGGGATAATAAAATGCAGCTGCCAAACTCTACTGCAACAATAACATCGCTTGTGTCGATTGTCCACGTTCACGACATGTATTAACGTATAGTAAAAATTGAGCATTGTCAACTAGGGCTCTGTCGAAGACAGGAAATCGCAGAACTGAAGTATAAACGCCTTCCGTCGAGAATTGACACATTTTCGACGGAAGTACCCCTTCCGTCGAGAACAAAATGTCTACACAAAAAAGTAACAATTGTATATTAATTTTTAGGGCCTTTACTTGGCTGATATTTTGAGTTACGAAACACTTTACTATGGTATATCGAGTTGTCTCCCGTCGAGTTCCATCAATTTCTACTGTTACGGCTGACATATATATTGTCATAAGAATACGACATTGAACCCGCGGGTTTCGGAGGGTTTTTTGGCCTGGTCAGCCGGGAATTTTCGGGGGCCCGGAGGGATTCCGCGGGTTTTTCGTTTTGCCTCGGATCCCGTTTGTGCTAGGGCGGCCGGGGCGGCATGTGATGACGTCACCCGTCCCTATATTATAGGAAACTACAAGGAACACGACGACATCGTAAATTTCGGGCAGCCATGCACTTATGGTATCCCGAGTCTCATAACCTGAGGTTATCAAAGAAGGAACCAGGAACCCTGGTTCGATATAGCCATCCGGGCTGATGCGCCTGCGGAACGCAGCCTAGATATTTTATTTGTATCACGTCCCCTAAAGACGGTCTGTGCTAACTCTTCAGTCATCTGCGTCAGTAAGCTCTCACCCAGGTGATTGTCGGATTGTGCAGACATTTTCCGCTTCCGGCTTGCACGGAGTAAGCCGTTTCAAACCAAGCATCATCGAGTCGAGCGAGAGACGAGACGCCGTTGCAAACCCCTGCGGCTGGAGGGCAGCATGCCTGATCGCGGGGTTCTCTGTCCGTTGCTCCTCGTTCTCCGTAAGCCAATGCTGCTGACTCCCGTCCCTCTTGGACCCACTTTCGGGCTCAACGCAATCCCCTCTATATTAGATCCAGCATCTTTCTAAATTAGTTCTCATTTCGTTCACCCTTGTTTTCTTTTCCGAGTCGATTTTTCGCGCTAGTTGCTACAATGCGCTCGTTCGTCTCTTGAGTCGACTCAAAAGTCAGCTCGAGTCGATTTTCCGCGCTAGTTGCCACAACGCGCTCGTTCGTCTCTCCTTCCTTCCACCTGACTCTTGTTTCTGCTCTCCTTCCCAAGTACGGACCCAAGTACGGTCCCACCGCGTGTGTGTTTTGAGGAGCCCACGTGGCTGCACGTCGCGAATCGAACGCCACGTGGCTCTACGGCTCAGAGCCCACGTGGATCCCCGTCTCCGCTTCAATTCGCGCTGCGAGTTTCCATTCTGCTCGAGCCTCCACATTAGTCGCCCACTCTTCTCTCTTCTCCCAGCTCCCTTCCTCGCGTCTCTCCGCTCCCCTCCTCGCGTCTCCCCCCTTCCCTTCTCTCTCTTCCCCCCCCCCCCCTCCAAGAGTCGTCTCTCCTCTCAGCCCCAACTTACCCCCCCACCATTCCCTGCCATCCTCTCATCACCTCCTTTCCCCTTGGCGGCCTCCTTCCTTTCCTCTCTTCCCCCTCGTCCCTTTCAGTGCTCCTGACAGCGCAAGCCCAACCAGAAGCTCTTACCGATTCGCAGCTGCTGCAGCAGCGGGTGCAGGATGTTTTTGGGGCAGGAGCAGCAGGGAATGGAGCAGATGCAGGGGCAGCAGGGAATGGGGCAGAGGCAGGGGCAGCAGGGAATGGAGCAGATGCAGGAGCAGCAGGGAATGGGGCAGAGGCAGGGGCAGCAGGGAATGGAGCAGAGGCAGGGGCAGCAGGGAATGGAGCAGAAGCAGGTGCTTCAGGGCCAGGAGAAATTACCCTGGAAAACGACGAAATGCTGCTGGGAAGGGTTTCACAGATGGAAAGGGAATTGAGGAAACAGTTGGCGGAGCAGGAGCGAGCAGGTGGGCAGTTAACAGAGTTACCACAGTCAACAGGGTTACAGAAATCACCAGAATTACCAACAGGTTCACCAGACGTAACAGGGTTACCACAGGCAACAGGGTTACAGCAATCATTAGAATCGCTAGCAACAGGAGTGAGTGAATCGAGGCAGGAACCTGGACTGATCCAAGGATCCGAAGGTGGACCACCTGCCACGTCATCTGACAGCACAGCAGCTGCCACATCAACTGCCAGCTCAGCTGGTGGAAATGGGCCAGTGTCGGAAATACAATCATTGGAGCAGGAGGCCAAGCAGCTGGCTGCTGACGTGGCACAGAGCAAGGTGGACAGACAAGTGTGAGTATAACGAGAGGAGAGGGTACCGTGTGGTGCAGTGTGTACCCAACACACAGTGCTCCTGAGGAAAGGTATGGTTTCCCCATGACCACCGTCTATTCGCCCTCTTGAGTCAAATTGCCCTCCCTGTGCCTTTATGACATTCATGACATTCATGCCTTTATGCACTCTGCGTCTCCCTCTCCCCTTTTGTGCCCCCTATTTGCTCAACAGGACCCAGCAGCGCGCACAGCAGCTGCTGCAGCGACTCGCAGAGGCAGAGGCATGATAGGGGGGCAATTTTCTGTTTGTGTAGCTGCTTCCCATCTGTGTGTGCACTGCACTCATGCCCTAATACCTAATTGCGATGCCATGCCTTCTATATGTCTTCCTCCACCCCCATGCTGCCTGCAGGGCACAGCAGCGCGCACAGCAGCTGCTGCAGCGCCTCACAGAGGCAGAGGCACGTCTGAGGGCGACAACCAGCCGAACCTGTTCTGTTGCTGCTGCCCCTTGTGTGTGCACTCGTTGCCTTATCGGCAGATACATGCCTTGTACCTCCCTTGATGTCATGCTCCTCACACAGGGCACAGCAGCGCGCACAGCAGCTGCTGCAGCGGCTCACAGAGGCAGAGGCACGTCTGAGGGGGCAATCTGCCGCACCTGTAGCTGCTGCTGCCCTTTGTGTGTGCACTGCACTCATGCCCTATCTGCGAACACATGCCTTGTTTGTGCCTCCCCCCTCCCCCGTGTGTGCCCTGCTGCAGGGCACAGCAGCGTGCACAGCAGCTGCTGCAGCGGCTCACAGAGGCAGAGGCGCGGCTGAGGGGGCAACCAGCCGCACCTGTAGCTGCTGCCAGCACCAGCAGCATTAGCAGCAGCAGCATTAGCACCGGCAGCATTAGCAGCAGCAGCACCACCACCAGCAGCAGCAGCACCACCACCAGCAGCAGCAGCAGCAGCACCACCAGCAGCAGCAGCACCAGCACCACCAGCAGCAGCACCACCACCAGCAGCGGCTCGGCCACCAGCAGCAGCTCCCTTGAAACTCTAGGCCTAGAACCCATGGGCTCCTTGCAACAGGAAGCCCTCTCCTCTCCATCAACCCTCCCCTCCCCTCTCTCTCGCTCATCAATGTCAGAGCTTCACCTAAACATCGGTGCCCTCTATTCCACCCATCTCGACTCTCTCAACTGCTCCAACGCCCCCGCCTGCCCGGATTTCTCGGGCAGGTGCTCGGTCAACCCGGAAATTTCTGCCTGTTTCAATCCTGGGTTGGAGGACGACGGGAAGCAGTGGCTTCGAGCACCGGAAAACTGCCCGAAGGTGAAGAATGCGGTGGAGAGCGGTGCAGAGGGGTTCGATGCGAGATGCAGCCATGAATCGGACTTTGCATGGCACAAGTGGATGGTGTTTCAGACCTTCCTGCTGCGGGGGGTCTATGTGAGCGCGCAGGGGCAGGTGTTTAATCAAACCACACACTTTGCTCGCAAGGGATGCGGCCATTTCTCAGAGGTGAGTGGTTTGATGTGAGAATCTTCCTTCCCAACCGTTCAGATTAGATGTGAGGTAGCAGGTGGTGCGGCGTGGCTTGGAAATGCAGGAAACAAGTGGATGGAGTTTCAGGCCTTCCTGAAGAAAGGGGGGGGGGGGGGAGGGGGGGGAAGGGGTCCATGTGAGCGCGGAGAGACAAGTGTTTAATGAGTCGACACACTTTTCTCGCAAGGGATGCGGACATTTCTCGGAGGTGAGAGTTGCTGTTGGCGTTTGGCCGTTGCTCGCTACAGGTCTCGCTTCAATTTTCCCCTTTGCACTCCCCCTGCCCTCCTCCCACCAGTTCTCCTACCCCCAGGTCACCCCAGTGCGCCACATGCACCGAGCTGTCTCCCTCGTGCCACCAGCTGATTGAGAACTCTCTTTGTATCCCCTCCCTTTCCTCCCCTCCCCTCCCTTCTGCTCCCGTCTCCCCTTTCCCCCCCCACCCACCAGTTCTCTTACCCCCAGAACACCCCAGTGCGCCACATGCACCGAGCGCTCTCCCTCGTGTATCCGCACGCCATGGGGTCCTATCACGGGCTGATTGATAGGTCTTCTGAGTTCCATTGCTGTTACCTTCCCTCTCTTTCCCCCCTTTCCCCCCTCCACTCTCTCCCCCCACCAGTTCTCATACCCCCAGGCCACCCCAGTGCGTCACATGCACCGAGCTCTCTCCCTCGTGTACCCACACGCCACGGGGTTCTATCACGGGCTCATAGAGTGGCTGCCTCAGTTTCTCCTGCTCGCTCCGCTCCTGCAGAAGCTTCCCAACATAGCAGTGCTGGGCACGGCTGAACAGGTCCGTGGTGGTGTGTCTGGTTGTGTTTTGTTGGTCGCAGTGCAGTGCAGTGCAGTGCGGTGGGGTGCCTTTTCTCTCCCTGGTGTACCCACAGGCCACGGGGTTCTATCACGGGCTGATAGAGTGCCTGCCTCAGTTCCTGCTGCTCGCCCCTTTGCTGCAGAAGCTGCCAAACATAGCAGTCATGGGCACACCTGAACAGGTATGGTCAGGGCATTGGTGGAGTGCGGTGAAGTGCAGTACTTGTGCTCTTCCTTGTGCCACGGGGTTGTATCACGGGCTGATAGAGTGGCTGCCGCAGTTCCTGCTGCTCGCCCCCTTTGCTGCAGAAGCTTCCCAACATAGCAGTGCTTGGTACTCCCGAGCAGGTACGGTCAGTCAGAGCATAGGTAAAGTGCGGTGAAGTGCGGTACTCGCGCTCCTCCTAGTGCCACGGGGTTCTATCACGGGCTGATAGAGTGGCTGCCACAGTTCCTGCTGCTCGCCCCCTTGCTGCAGAGGCTGGCAAACATAGCAGTGCTTGGCACACCCGAGCAGGTGCGTGTGAATGGAATGAGCTGCAGTGTGGTGCAGTGCGGTGATGTGCCATTCTTGGTTCTATTACGGGCTGATAGAGTGGCTGCCTCAGTTCCTGCTGCTTGCTCCGCTGCTGCAGAAACTGCCAAACATAGCAGTGCTTGGCACACCTGAACAGGTACGCTTCATATGGGGGTGGAATGCGGTGGAGTGCGGTTCCCGCTCTCTCCCTCGTGTACCCACAGGCAACGGGGTTCTATTACGGGCTGATAGAGTGGCTGCCTCAGTTCCTGCTGCTTGCTCCGCTGCTGCAGAAACTGCCAAACATAGCAGTGCTTGGCACACCTGAACAGGTACGCTTCATATGGGGGTGGAATGCGGTGGAGTGCGGTTCCCGCTCTCTCCCTCGTGTACCCACAGGCAACGGGGTTCTATTACGGGCTGATAGAGTGGCTGCCTCAGTTCCTGCTGCTTGCTCCGCTGCTGCAGAAACTGCCAAACATAGCAGTGCTTGGCACACCTGAACAGGTACGCTTCATATGGGGGTGGAATGCGGTGGAGTGCGGTTCCCGCTCTCTCCCTCGTGTACCCACAGGCAACGGGGTTCTATTACGGGCTGATAGAGTGGCTGCCTCAGTTCCTGCTGCTTGCTCCGCTGCTGCAGAAACTGCCAAACATAGCAGTGCTTGGCACACCTGAACAGGTACGCTTCATATGGGGGTGGAATGCGGTGGAGTGCGGTTCCCGCTCTCTCCCTCGTGTACCCACAGGCAACGGGGTTCTATTACGGGCTGATAGAGTGGCTGCCTCAGTTCCTGCTGCTTGCTCCGCTGCTGCAGAAACTGCCAAACATAGCAGTGCTTGGCACACCTGAACAGGTACGCTTCATATGGGGGTGGAATGCGGTGGAGTGCGGTTCCCGCTCTCTCCCTCGTGTACCCACAGGCAACGGGGTTCTATTACGGGCTGATAGAGTGGCTGCCTCAGTTCCTGCTGCTTGCTCCGCTGCTGCAGAAACTGCCAAACATAGCAGTGCTTGGCACACCTGAACAGGTACGCTTCATATGGGGGTGGAATGCGGTGGAGTGCGGTTCCCGCTCTCTCCCTCGTGTACCCACAGGCAACGGGGTTCTATTACGGGCTGATAGAGTGGCTGCCTCAGTTCCTGCTGCTTGCTCCGCTGCTGCAGAAACTGCCAAACATAGCAGTGCTTGGCACACCTGAACAGGTACGCTTCATATGGGGGTGGAATGCGGTGGAGTGCGGTTCCCGCTCTCTCCCTCGTGTACCCACAGGCAACGGGGTTCTATTACGGGCTGATAGAGTGGCTGCCTCAGTTCCTGCTGCTTGCTCCGCTGCTGCAGAAACTGCCAAACATAGCAGTGCTTGGCACACCTGAACAGGTACGCTTCATATGGGGGTGGAATGCGGTGGAGTGCGGTTCCCGCTCTCTCCCTCGTGTACCCACAGGCAACGGGGTTCTATTACGGGCTGATAGAGTGGCTGCCTCAGTTCCTGCTGCTTGCTCCGCTGCTGCAGAAACTGCCAAACATAGCAGTGCTTGGCACACCTGAACAGGTACGCTTCATATGGGGGTGGAATGCGGTGGAGTGCGGTTCCCGCTCTCTCCCTCGTGTACCCACAGGCAACGGGGTTCTATTACGGGCTGATAGAGTGGCTGCCTCAGTTCCTGCTGCTTGCTCCGCTGCTGCAGAAACTGCCAAACATAGCAGTGCTTGGCACACCTGAACAGGTACGCTTCATATGGGGGTGGAATGCGGTGGAGTGCGGTTCCCGCTCTCTCCCTCGTGTACCCACAGGCAACGGGGTTCTATTACGGGCTGATAGAGTGGCTGCCTCAGTTCCTGCTGCTTGCTCCGCTGCTGCAGAAACTGCCAAACATAGCAGTGCTTGGCACACCTGAACAGGTACGCTTCATATGGGGGTGGAATGCGGTGGAGTGCGGTTCCCGCTCTCTCCCTCGTGTACCCACAGGCAACGGGGTTCTATTACGGGCTGATAGAGTGGCTGCCTCAGTTCCTGCTGCTTGCTCCGCTGCTGCAGAAACTGCCAAACATAGCAGTGCTTGGCACACCTGAACAGGTACGCTTCATATGGGGGTGGAATGCGGTGGAGTGCGGTTCCCGCTCTCTCCCTCGTGTACCCACAGGCAACGGGGTTCTATTACGGGCTGATAGAGTGGCTGCCTCAGTTCCTGCTGCTTGCTCCGCTGCTGCAGAAACTGCCAAACATAGCAGTGCTTGGCACACCTGAACAGGTACGCTTCATATGGGGGTGGAATGCGGTGGAGTGCGGTTCCCGCTCTCTCCCTCGTGTACCCACAGGCAACGGGGTTCTATTACGGGCTGATAGAGTGGCTGCCTCAGTTCCTGCTGCTTGCTCCGCTGCTGCAGAAACTGCCAAACATAGCAGTGCTTGGCACACCTGAACAGGTACGCTTCATATGGGGGTGGAATGCGGTGGAGTGCGGTTCCCGCTCTCTCCCTCGTGTACCCACAGGCAACGGGGTTCTATTACGGGCTGATAGAGTGGCTGCCTCAGTTCCTGCTGCTTGCTCCGCTGCTGCAGAAACTGCCAAACATAGCAGTGCTTGGCACACCTGAACAGGTACGCTTCATATGGGGGTGGAATGCGGTGGAGTGCGGTTCCCGCTCTCTCCCTCGTGTACCCACAGGCAACAGGTTTCTATTACGGGCTGATAGAGTGGCTGCCTCAGTTCCTGCTGCTTGCTCCGCTGCTGCAGAAACTGCCAAACATAGCAGTGCTTGGCACACCTGAACAGGTACGCTTCATATGGGGGTGGAATGCGGTGGAGTGCGGTTCCCGCTCTCTCCCTCGTGTACCCACAGGCAACGGGGTTCTATTACGGGCTGATAGAGTGGCTGCCTCAGTTCCTGCTGCTTGCTCCGCTGCTGCAGAAACTGCCAAACATAGCAGTGCTTGGCACACCTGAACAGGTACGCTTCATATGGGGGTGGAATGCGGTGGAGTGCGGTTCCCGCTCTCTCCCTCGTGTACCCACAGGCAACGGGGTTCTATTACGGGCTGATAGAGTGGCTGCCTCAGTTCCTGCTGCTTGCTCCGCTGCTGCAGAAACTGCCAAACATAGCAGTGCTTGGCACACCTGAACAGGTACGCTTCATATGGGGGTGGAATGCGGTGGAGTGCGGTTCCCGCTCTCTCCCTCGTGTACCCACAGGCAACGGGGTTCTATTACGGGCTGATAGAGTGGCTGCCTCAGTTCCTGCTGCTTGCTCCGCTGCTGCAGAAACTGCCAAACATAGCAGTGCTTGGCACACCTGAACAGGTACGCTTCATATGGGGGTGGAATGCGGTGGAGTGCGGTTCCCGCTCTCTCCCTCGTGTACCCACAGGCAACGGGGTTCTATTACGGGCTGATAGAGTGGCTGCCTCAGTTCCTGCTGCTTGCTCCGCTGCTGCAGAAACTGCCAAACATAGCAGTGCTTGGCACACCTGAACAGGTACGCTTCATATGGGGGTGGAATGCGGTGGAGTGCGGTTCCCGCTCTCTCCCTCGTGTACCCACAGGCAACGGGGTTCTATTACGGGCTGATAGAGTGGCTGCCTCAGTTCCTGCTGCTTGCTCCGCTGCTGCAGAAACTGCCAAACATAGCAGTGCTTGGCACACCTGAACAGGTACGCTTCATATGGGGGTGGAATGCGGTGGAGTGCGGTTCCCGCTCTCTCCCTCGTGTACCCACAGGCAACGGGGTTCTATTACGGGCTGATAGAGTGGCTGCCTCAGTTCCTGCTGCTTGCTCCGCTGCTGCAGAAACTGCCAAACATAGCAGTGCTTGGCACACCTGAACAGGTACGCTTCATATGGGGGTGGAATGCGGTGGAGTGCGGTTCCCGCTCTCTCCCTCGTGTACCCACAGGCAACGGGGTTCTATTACGGGCTGATAGAGTGGCTGCCTCAGTTCCTGCTGCTTGCTCCGCTGCTGCAGAAACTGCCAAACATAGCAGTGCTTGGCACACCTGAACAGGTACGCTTCATATGGGGGTGGAATGCGGTGGAGTGCGGTTCCCGCTCTCTCCCTCGTGTACCCACAGGCAACGGGGTTCTATTACGGGCTGATAGAGTGGCTGCCTCAGTTCCTGCTGCTTGCTCCGCTGCTGCAGAAACTGCCAAACATAGCAGTGCTTGGCACACCTGAACAGGTACGCTTCATATGGGGGTGGAATGCGGTGGAGTGCGGTTCCCGCTCTCTCCCTCGTGTACCCACAGGCAACGGGGTTCTATTACGGGCTGATAGAGTGGCTGCCTCAGTTCCTGCTGCTTGCTCCGCTGCTGCAGAAACTGCCAAACATAGCAGTGCTTGGCACACCTGAACAGGTACGCTTCATATGGGGGTGGAATGCGGTGGAGTGCGGTTCCCGCTCTCTCCCTCGTGTACCCACAGGCAACGGGGTTCTATTACGGGCTGATAGAGTGGCTGCCTCAGTTCCTGCTGCTTGCTCCGCTGCTGCAGAAACTGCCAAACATAGCAGTGCTTGGCACACCTGAACAGGTACGCTTCATATGGGGGTGGAATGCGGTGGAGTGCGGTTCCCGCTCTCTCCCTCGTGTACCCACAGGCAACGGGGTTCTATTACGGGCTGATAGAGTGGCTGCCTCAGTTCCTGCTGCTTGCTCCGCTGCTGCAGAAACTGCCAAACATAGCAGCACTTGGCACACCTGAACAGGTACGCTTCATATGGGGGTGGAATGCGGTGGAGTGCGGTTCCCGCTCTCTCCCTCGTGTACCCACAGGCAACGGGGTTCTATTACGGGCTGATAGAGTGGCTGCCTCAGTTCCTGCTGCTTGCTCCGCTGCTGCAGAAACTGCCAAACATAGCAGTGCTTGGCACACCTGAACAGGTACGCTTCATATGGGGGTGGAATGCGGTGGAGTGCGGTTCCCGCTCTCTCCCTCGTGTACCCACAGGCAACGGGGTTCTATTACGGGCTGATAGAGTGGCTGCCTCAGTTCCTGCTGCTTGCTCCGCTGCTGCAGAAACTGCCAAACATAGCAGTGCTTGGCACACCTGAACAGGTACGCTTCATATGGGGGTGGAATGCGGTGGAGTGCGGTTCCCGCTCTCTCCCTCGTGTACCCACAGGCAACGGGGTTCTATTACGGGCTGATAGAGTGGCTGCCCCGGCACATCAAACCCAACGAGCTCACCTAACTGTTCGTGCTGCATGGACTGCCCTCTTGCTCTTCCCTTCTTCCTCTCACCGCACCTTCCCCTCCCCCACACCATCTCTCTCTCTCTCCCAGTGGGCATTCTACGACCGGATCCTCAAGCCTTTAGTGGGCGTGGACCTAGCAAAGATCAACCGAGTGGACGTCAAACCCGATGAGCTAATCTTGGTCGACCAACTCTTCATGGTACGTCCGTGCGTGATCCATAAAATCTATCAGTCTGTGTGATAAAGTTGTTAAGTTGTTACTCACTCGTTGACTTGTCAGCCGAATGTGGACGTCAAACCCGAGGAGCTCATTCTGGTCGACCAACTCTTCATGGTACGTCCCTCTGTGAACCATCTAATCTATCAGGTGCGGTGCGGTGCGTACCCTGCACCATGCGAGTGTGTACGGCCGGATCGCATGGATTGATACACATCTGTGATTTTCAACACTAAGGAGAAAGCGTGCCCTGCTGCTCCCTCCACACGGCCTCCCCTTTTTCCACAAGCACGGCTGGCAGCCCCCACCCCAACCATAGGCATCCATGATCCATCTTGTCTGGTCCATTTCCGCCCATGTACCACCCTTTGTCCCCCTTACAAGCAGCCTCTCTACCAGTGCTGCGGCAAGCCTTCCCCAGCCGACTGGCGGGACATTCGGCTGAAGGCCCTGCTCCCTCCACACGGCCTTCCTTTCTTCCACAAGCACGGCTGGCAATCCAACCATAGGCAGTCACCTAGTCTGCTCCGTTCCCCCACTTACCACCCCTTGTCCCCATTACAAGCAGCCCCTCTACCAGTGCTGCGGCAAGCCTTCCCCAGCCATCTGGAGGGACATGAGGCTGCGGGCCCTGCTCCCTCCACAATGCACCCCCTTCATCCACAAGCATGCCTGGCAACCCTAAATTTTGGCACTCAATTAGTATGTTCCTCTTCCCCTTGTCCCCATTACTAGCAGCCTCTTTATCAGTGCTGCGGCAAGCCTTCCCCGGCCATCTGGCGGGACATGAGGCTGAAGGCCCTGCTCCCTCCACACGGCCTCCCTTTCTTCCACAAGCACGGCTGGCAACTCCGAGGGATCCAGCCAATCACGGAGAAGCAGGCGGCAGCTGTACTGCGCTCTGATTGGCTCGTCGTTGTCGCCCGCCGCCCGGGCAGCCGAAGAGTTTTGGACAAGTTTGAGGAGCTGTTGGAGGAGGTGAAGAAAGCTTTCGGGCAGGAGAAGGTTCGGACCTTTGACGGTTCGCTTCCGATTCTTGAAGGTGAGAAGCGACGATGCGCCTTTTGAGTCGACTCAAAAGTCACCTCGGTTCGCTGCTGATACTTGAAGGTGAGAAATGAGGATGAGCGATTGGCTGTATAGTTGTAAATGGAATCAGTATCGTGGTGTATGATGGTAAAATTATTCTCAGGAATCTCAGGCCATGCCTCTGTTGCTGTGTGCTCTTGCTCTCACTCCTTCTCTCTCTCTTCCTCCATTTCCTTCCTTCTCTTTCTCCCTGCCTCCTTCATTTCCTCCTTTTTCCCCGCTCGCAGCGCGGTCTCTCTTCCTGCAAGCGCGTCTCTTTATAGCAGGGCATGGGGCAGCGCTAGCAAACATGGCCTTTTTTTGTGCTACTTGCTGCCGTTGTGTTTCAGATTCAATCCCCTAACCCTGTTTTTTGCAACCATCATGCCCACACACACAGCGCGGTCTCTCTTCCTGCAAGTGCGTCTTTCCATAGCAGGCATGGGGCTGCGCTAGCAAACATGGTATTTATGCCGTTTAATGCTACAGTGCTTGAGATTGACATTCCCTTCCCCTTGCAACAACCACCATTCCCACACAGCGCGGTCTCTCTTTCTGCAAGCGCGTCTCTTCATAGCAGGGCATGGGGCAGCGCTAGCAAACATGGTTTTCATGCCGTTTAATGCTACAGTGCTTGAGATTCGGCCAGATCGTTACGACAACGCGTGTTACCACTTCCTTGCGAGCGCTTGTGGGTTACGGTACAATCTAATTTTGGGTCAGGGGGATCAAGATAGCGAAAATAAGGTTGATTTGGGCCAAGTTACAAATGCTTTAGTGAGCATACGCAGCGAATTTGGTGCCATGCAATGATAGGCCTGAGCTGCAATCAAACCGATTTGTTGAAACATTTCAAACTTGGGTTCGGTTCGGTACAGAGCGGTACCTTGCCTTCGTGACACAAATGTCAAGACAGAACGCGCCCTAATCATGTCAAATGCATATCAGTGTTTGCACGATATATATTCAGTTTGGTGTTACGATGCCTTCATTTATAGTAATCAATAAAGATTCAAAAGTATGATCTTGACCCTTGTGGGGCCACTGGACTGGACAAGAAGCCAATGTTTATGTATAAGTGTTAGTATCTAGGTGGCGTCTGGTATTTTGGTATTCTGGATGCTGGCGATCAGGAATAGCTAATAACTGTCATGAGTCGTGACTGACTTTTAGGTTACAAGCGAAAACTCTGAAATCATGAGTTGAAGGCGTGGCGTTGGGTGGAAGGGAGGGGGGCTTCCTGTTTAGGGTCCAAAAGTTTTCGAGACGCACCCGCGCACTGGCTCGATCCCGACGTCGAGTTTAGGGCGCGTGCGTTCCGTCAAATTTGACAAAATTCATGTTTTGGGGGCTTATATTATTTTTTAAACTTAAGTCAAACGGAATTCGACTTTCCTTGTAGCGAAGTTCGAAAATTGCGGGAATAACACTGCAAAGATGCAATCACACACGCAAGGTCGAACATCAAAATTCGAACCTTTATGTTACCCGGTACATGCTCGCCAAGTCAACATAATGCCACTTTTTGTTTCGCGATGCAGTCGTCAATGTCGCATAATGTTCGTACGTGCCGAAAACACACACACTCATATGAACGTGCGCACGCACGTTCACAACGCCAACTCGAGTCAAGTTCACTTTTGAAGCTCGAACTTTTATAAGCCCTAAAATTCGAGACGTTCGTTAGACGCTTTTGGCGAAATTAACGAAACGGTAACCAGCCAAAGTTCTAACCTATTTTCGAACTTGGGAACGGAACGCACGCGCCTTTAAACCTCAAGTACACGGGATCCTGGTCCAATTGTATGTAAAAAGTAACCTCGGTGACAATGTCGGTGACAATTTGGCTGTGTGAGAGTTGCATTTCCGGGGTAGTCTGTACGATGTAGTTCGGTTTGTCACGTTGAGAAGTGGTTCAGCAGCTTCACACCAGGGTAGTTTCTGGTTCGTTCGGTTCAACAACTTCTGACAACCATTGCGCCATTTTTTGTAAGCATGGCCGCATAAGCAGAGACCCTACACGTACCGACTTTGATTTAGCAAATACAGATCGAGGAACCTAACGACTCCTCGCTCGTCGTCGATTCGCGGATCATGCTGACCGAACAGATGATCGCTCCTTAGGCTAGGTGACTTCTGAGTAGACTAGAAAATCTTCCTAGCTTGTCGTCGGTTCGCGGATTATGCTGGCAGCAGAGATGATCGCTGCTCCTTAGGCTTAGATAGCTCTCGTATGGGTTCGGCGGGCTCGCGTTCGGCTGACAAATCGTGGAATCTACCGAGACCAAAGAGTGCGTGCGCGTTACAACACGTCCGCATTACTAGGCGTCCCGACACACGTGACGAGCTGTCGACGGCAATTTCGTGAAGATAGAAAGTCTGTATATAATAATAAAATTGGACCACTCTCATACCGAAATGCAACAGCACATTGCACTCGTCCTGGTCATCCGACCTTCACATTCCTCTCGCATCCCGTCCTCTCTCCTCCCCTGCTCACTCTCTCCCCCCACCGCCAGTTCCCTCCAGGCACTCCGATTCGAAACCTCATTCCAGGCCCATTAATCGCCGTCGTCCGTCCCTCACGATTCCCTCCTCGGACGACTCATTTCCTAAGAGACCAGCACCAGGAGGAGGCTCAGGAGGACGATACGCCGCAGGACACGGCGGAGGGTACGGCGGAGGGTACGGCGGCGCCAGTCTAGGCGAAAATGGTTACCCAGGCAACAACGACGACAATGTTCGCAGCAGCGACGCGAATCTGCCCAACCCAGTGGAGTTTTCATACGAGGAGCTCAAAACGGCTACAGATGGGTTCAGTGCGGTGAACGTGTTGGGCGAGGGCGGGTACGGGAAGGTGTACCGTGGGATGGTTCGCGAGGAGGCGCCAGATGGCAGCACGGTAGAGCGCCACGTGGCAGTGAAGCAGCTGAATGACGAGGGGCGGCAGGGCTTCAACGAATGGCTGGTAAGGGCTGCGGGTGGTAAGGGCTGCGGGTGGTAAGGGCTGCGGGTGGTGTGGTCACAACTGGTTGTCTGATTGGGTCTTCGGGCATGCGTGGTAGGGCATGCGTGGTAGGGCATGGGTGGTAGGGCATGGGTGGTAGGGCATGGGTGGTAGGTGGGGACAGGTTTTCAACACATTCCCAACTTCTCCATCCCCTTTCCCCCTTCATTGCCTTCCCCGTCCATGCCTTCCCCGTTTCCCCGTCATTGAGGTGATTTTTGAAGCGCCTCAAAAATCATCTCAATGCATGCGGCTTTTCAGCACATTCCCAACATCTCCATCACTTTTCCCCTTCTCTGCCGTCTTTTTCCCCCATCCATGCTTTCCCAGTTCCCCTGTCACCCTCCCCCACACACTTTCCCCTTCTTTCTCCCCACTTCATCAGACGGAGGTGGTGTTTCTTCGGCGACTGTGCCATCCCCACCTGGTGCAGATCGTGGGTACTGCACGGACCAGCAGCAGCAACTCTCCACCCTACCAATTTCCCCTTCCTCCTCGCCTCCCCCCCTACTTCTCTGCCCCCCATTCTCTTCTAAAAACGTCAGACGGAGGTGGTGTTTCTGAGGCGCCTGCACCACCCCAACCTGGTGCAGTTCGTGGGGTACTGCACGGAGCAGCAGCAGGCGCTGCTCGTATACGAGCTCATGGCCAACCAATCGTTAGACTACCATCTCTTCGACAGTGAGTCCTTCTCCACGGTGCAGTGCAGCGCAGTGCGGTGCAGTGCAACGCAGTGCGGTGCAGTGCGGTGCAGTGTGTATGAACGCCTCTCTGTAACCGTCACTCACCTCAATGCAGTTCGTGGGGTATGGCACGGAGCAGCAGCAGGCGCTGCTGGTATACGAGCTCATGGCCAACACGCCGCTGAATTACCACCTCTTTGACAATCGGTCCCTCACTGTACCGTTTTCTCTTCGACCAACAGGCTCCTCTTTGCATGTGGGTGGGTGCTGCTGCACAGACCAGCACCAGGCCCTGCTTGTCTATGAGCTCATGGCAAACGCACCACTGAATGACTGCCTCTTTGTGGTCCCTGATGGTGGTCCCTGATGGTGGTCCCTGATGGTGGTCCCTGATGGTGGTCCCTGATGGTGGTCCCTGATGGTGGTCCCTGATGGTGGTCCCTGATGGTGGTCCCTGATGGTGGTCCCTGATGGTGGCCCCTGATGGTGGCCCCTGATGGTGGCCCCTGATGGTGGCCCCTGATGGTGGTCCCTGATGGTGGTCCCTGATGGTGGTCCCTGATGGTGGTCCCTGATGGTGGTCCCTGATGGTGGTCCCTGATGGTGGTCCCTGATGGTGGTCCCTGATGGTGGTCCCTGATGGTGGTCCCTGATGGTGGTCCCTGATGGTGGTCCCTGATGGTGGTCCCTGATGGTGGTCCCTGATGGTGGTCCCTGATGGTGGTCCCTGATGGTGGTCCCTGATGGTGGTCCCTGATGGTGGTCCCTGATGGTGGTCCCTGATGGTGGTCCCTGATGGTGGTCCCTGATGGTGGTCCCTGATGGTGGTCCCTGATGGTGGTCCCTGATGGTGGTCCCTGATGGTGGTCCCTGATGGTGGTCCCTGATGGTGGTCCCTGATGGTGGTCCCTGATGGTGGTCCCTGATGGTGGTCCCTGATGGTGGTCCCTGATGGTGGTCCCTGATGGTGGTCCCTGATGGTGGCCCCTGATGGTGGTCCCTGATGGTGGTCCCTGATGGTGGTCCCTGATGGTGGTCCCTGATGGTGGTCCCTGATGGTGGTCCCTGATGGTGGTCCCTGATGGTGGTCCCTGATGGTGGTCCCTGATGGTGGTCCCTGATGGTGGTCCCTGATGGTGGTCCCTGATGGTGGTCCCTGATGGTGGTCCCTGATGGTGGTCCCTGATGGTGGTCCCTGATGGTGGTCCCTGATGGTGGTCCCTGATGGTGGTCCCTGATGGTGGTCCCTGATGGTGGTCCCTGATGGTGGTCCCTGATGGTGGTCCCTGATGGTGGTCCCTGATGGTGGTCCCTGATGGTGGTCCCTGATGGTAATTACCACCGTTAAAGGTCCCTCTCTGCTCTGCTTTCTATTTGACAGCCAGTCACTTCTCTCCATCGCTCGCATGTGTGTGTGTGTGTGTGTGTGTGTGTGTGTGTGTGTGTGTGTGTGTGTGTGTGTGTGTGTGTGTGTGTGTGTGTTCATGTGAATGTACGTGAATGCAAATGAATCTATGCACTCCCACAAACCCCACTCCCCATTCCCACGCCACGACCTATGCCCCAACCCCCCACTCCACATTCCCCACTCCCCACGCCCGTTCCCCCCTCCCTCCTGCCAGGCACCCGCCCCCCTCTCACGTGGCAACAGCGGGTCAATGTGGCTCTGGGAGCCGCTAAGGGGTTAGCATACCTGCATGAGGGCACGGAGCGGCAGGTGATCTTCAGAGACCTGAAAGCTGCAAATATCCTGCTAGACGAGGTAAGGTAGGGTGGGTGGATGGGTATGTGTGCATGCGTGTTGTGGGCTGGGGAACTGAGTCAACCGACGAGCCAATGGGTTGGCATGGGGGGAGATGTGTGCTGCGTGTGTGTGTTGTGGGCTGGAGCTGGGTCGACCCACGGGGCGAGGGGCCAAGGGGTTAGCGTACCTGCATGAGGGCACGGAGCGACAAGTGATCTTCAGAGACCTCAAGGCGGCCAATATACTTCTGGATGAGGTGCGGAGAGAGAGGGGGGGGATGTGCCTGTGTGTTGTGGGCTGGGGCTGGGTCAACCGAAGGGATCTCAAGGCGGCCAATATTTTGCTGGATGAGGTGAGGGTGGAGAGGGATGTGTGTGCGTGTGGCTTGGGGTAACTTAAGGGCTGGCGTGTTGTGGCTTGTGGTTGGGGCATTCAAGTGCAACGGGCACACAAAGGGCTGGCTTACCTGCATGAGGGCACGGGGCGGCAGGTGATATTCAGAGACCTCATGGCGGCCAATATACTGCTGGATGAGGTGATGAAGGGGGGGGGGATGTGCGTGTGTGTTGTGGGCTGGGCCTGGGCCAAACCAAGTGGCTGAAGTGCCTAACGTGCCTGCATGAGGGCACGGAGCGGCAGGTGATCTTCAAAGATCTTAAGGCGGCCAATATACTGCTGGATGAGGTGAGGAGGGGAGGGAAGTGTGTGCATAAGGTGAAGGTGGAGGTGTGTGCTTATGTGTGGGTGAAGGAATATGCGTGTGTGCTGCGGGCTGGTTCGCGGTCAACCCAAGGGGGAGAATGGGCTTATGCATGTGCATGAGGGCACGTAGCAGCAGATGATTCTCAGAGATCTGAAAACTGCAAATATGTGGATGAGGTGAGGGTGGAGGAATGTGCGTGAGTGCTGTGGGCTGGTTCTTGCCGAACGGGCACAAGGGGGAGAAGGGAGTGGTAGCCCTTCTCCCCCTTGTGCCGCCCTTCTCCCCCTTGTGCCGCCCTTCTCCCCCTTGTGCCGCCCTTCTCCCCCTTGTGCCGCCCTTCTCCCCCTTGTGCCGCCCTTCTCCCCCTTGTGCCGCCCTTCTCCCCCTTGTGCCGCCCTTCTCCCCCTTGTGCCGCCCTTCTCCCCCTTGTGCCGCCCTTCTCCCCCTTGTGCCGCCCTTCTCCCCCTTGTGCCGCCCCCCTCCCCCTTGTGCCGCCCTTCTCCCCCTTGCGCCGCCCCCCTCCCCCTTGTGCCAGCAGCACTAAGTTTCTCTCTCGTCCCGTCTTGTATTGTAGCCCTTGTATTGTCTTGCCCACAACCCACCACTCCCCCACCACACCCCACCACACCCCACCACCCTTGCATCCTCTTCCAGACAGCACTTGGATGCGAAGCTGTCTGGTTCTGGTTGGCCAAGGAGGAATTTGCAGGAGCTTCAGGTTTCACACCACTTCCCACCCCTCCCTCTCCCCCTTTTCTCTCTCTCTCTCTCTCCCCCCCCCCCTTCCCCTGTCCCTCTAGAAAGGACTTGAATGCAAAGCTGTCAGACTTTGGACTGGCCAAGGACGGTACTGCTGGTGTCTCCCGTTTTTTTAAATACCCCTTCGCCTCACACCACCACACCCCACCGCATCCCACCACACCCCACCATTGTCAACATTTTCCTGACAGAACTTCAATGCCAAGCTGTCAGACTTTGGATTGGCCAAGGACGGCCCGGCAGGGGAGAACACGCACGTGTCCACCATGGTGGTCGGTACCTATGGCTACACCGCCCCTGAATACCTGCAGACTGGTACGATGCGGTGCAGGGCAGTTGCAGGTGGTGCAGTGTGGTGCAGACAGGTAAGGAGTGGCAGTGCAGAGTGGTGCAGGCAGGTACCGGTCAGCAGGAGAGAACACTCACGTGTCTACCATGGTGGTCGGTACCTATGGCTACTCCGCCCCTGAATACCTGCAGACTGGTACGATGCGGTGCAGAGCGGTAGTCAGTGATGCTGTGACAGTGCAGAGCGGTTTAGCTTGTTAAGGGCTGGCAGGGTAGATCATGCACGTGTCCACCATGGTGGTCGGCACCTCCGGCTACACCGCTCCTGAGTATCTTCAAACAGGTATAATGTGGTTCAGAGCGGTGCAGAGCTGTGTAGGCAGGTATGGCTCTGCAGAGGGGAGAACAGACACGTGTCCACCATGGTGGTGGGTACTTATGGCAGGCAGAGCGGTACAAACAGGTACCCACCACGATGGTGGGCATCTGTCTGTAAGGGCTGGTGGAAGAGGGTTATTGAGCTGGTGGATCCGTCGCTGCAAGGGCAACAAACTTTTGAGTCGACCCAAAAGTCTTTTGCGTTGACGCAGAGTGGTACAAACAGGTAAGGGGTGGTGGAAGAGGGTTATTGAGCTTGTGGACCCGTGGCTGCAAGGGCAACAAACATCACCAACTCCCCTCCCCTCCCGCCCTTGCTCCACTGCCCCATTGCTCCACTGCACCAGCTTCACCACCAGGCCACCTGCTGTCAGGCCGCAGAGCCGTGGACATAGACCGACCAGGCGATGAGAAGAACCTTGTCTTTTGGGCCAAGCCGTTCCTGGCGGACAGGAAGAGGATTAATTAGCCGTTTTTGCTTGCCCCACTGCCCCTTCACACCAAGTCACCTGACAGCAAATAACTGTGTGCACGCCTTTGGAGTGGTGCTGCTGGAGCTGCTGTCAGGCCGCAGAGCTGTGGACATGGACCGACCCGGCGACGAGAAGAACCTCGTCTTTTGGGCCAAGCCTTTCCTGGCGGACAGGAAGAGGGTCACTCAGCTGTTTCCCCTTGCTGTTTCTTCTTGTGCACACTGCACTGACACCAGGCCACCTGACAGCAAAGAGCGATGTGTACGCCTTCGGAGTGGTGCTGCTGGAGCTCCTCTGCGGCCGCAGGGCCGTGGACATAGACCGACCGGGCGACGAGAAGAATCTCGTCTTTTGGGCCAAGCCGTTCCTAGCGGACAGGAAGAGGGTCGGTGAGATCGTGGATCCGAGGCTGGAAGGGAGGTTCTCTCACAAGGGAGCTCTGAAGCTCGCCGTTGCTGCGCACTGCTGCCTGCAGGACGCGAAATCTCGGCCGTCGATGGCCGACATGGTGCAGACTTTGACGGCTCTGATGGAGATGGGCGAGGGTGGGGTTGGTGGTGGCAGTGGTCGTGGTGGTGAGACGCCCAGAACACCCAGAACGCCCAGAACACCGAAAACACCGAATGGCAAAAGAACGCAGAAGAATACGCTGAAAGCGCCGAGTGCATCGCTAGCTGTGGGCAGTTCGGGTGGTGCTGCTGACACACCTGTTGCATCCCGATCACCCTCTGGTGTCAGTGGTGATGGGGCCAATAGTGCAAGAGCTAATACAGGTGTGGGTGGTGATGATGCTGGTGTGGGTGGTGGTGATGATGGTAATAATACAGTTGGTGGGGGTGATCGTTCTTCTGGTGGTGCTGCAGCTGCTGGTGATGGTGGCCGAACTGTTGCCTCCTATGATGCAAATTCGTTGCATCGTGTACAGGTGGTAGCAAATGGAGAAAGTACCAGGACTCGTTGACGGGTAAGCAAAAAGTTAACCATCCATTGCTAACATAGAGAGCACCTTACTGTACCTCAACCGTGAATGAACAGTCCCAGTGAAACACCACAACATGCAACCATTTTCACTCCTATGACTACAGTTATTATAGTCTGGTGAAGACAAATAGCACCTCTTTACTCCATACGGAAGAGAAGAATGGAACAGAAACTTCACATGTACTGCCTCACAGGTATACAAGCAATCCAGATACGCAATATAATGTCCCCAAGAATTTACAGATTCCCCAACCTGAGCCTAACTCTCCTCCCTGTAGGGTCAGTTCCATCTGCATTCGAATCCTCAGCCCACATGGAATCCGCGGGCCTCCTTGTAGCGAGGATTTCACTGTTGTTCCCCACACCTGCTACAGCCTGTAGCAGCTCCGCCTGAAGGGACGGACAGCTGATTCGTAGATGCTCAAAGCCCTCTGATTGGATCACACCTGCACATCGATCAGAGAGGAACGAGACAGGGAACGGAGGTGATGAGTGATGAGGTAACCAACATGGGTGCGTGAGTGAGTCGGGTGGAGGACGAGGGAAGGAGGAGAGGGGAAGCGGAGTTGAGTCGGGGGGGGAAGCAGAGGGGTGGGAAGGGGGGGAGGGGGGGGGAGGGAAGGGGGGAAGAGGGGGGAAGGAAAGTGGGGAGGGGGAAAAAAGGGAGGAAAAGAGGTGGAGCGGAGGGGAGATTGCAAACCAAGATAGAGCAACTACAGTATTGGCCTAAAACACGTCCATACTCGCGAGGTTCTGCGCCGCGAACTGCAGGCACACGTTCTTGAGCCGCTTCGCGTTGTGTTGCTCCGCGAGAGCCAGCGTCGTAGCGACCGTGTCCGCATCCACCGTCTCGCACAGCTTCGACTCGCAGATTAATCGCAGCCGGTCTAAGGCGTAGCGGTCCGCAGCCGCCAGCAAATGCTGCGCCATGATTGGCGTAAAAGCGGACGGTCCGGAGCTCGGGAGATCGTCGGTGTATATGAAATGGAGGAGGGCTTTAAACACCGGAGCCTCGATGTCTGTAACGGGGATGTTACCCTCCCGCCTGTCCCGCATGGGTCCGTACAGTAACGCCTTCAAGACTGGCGAACGCGCGGCGAGGATGACCCTATGAGCGGACACCGTTTCATCTCCGACGTCGAACGTTACATCGCATCCCTCGCCCGAGTACAGAAGCACCTCGTAATCCTTCCCCATCTGCGACGGCGGAATCGGTATCGACACCGGCTGCTTCGGACCCTCCGTTTCAGTCACAACAACGCCGACCGTACACGTGATCTGTAGCGTGTCGTCTTTGAGATAATCCGACGTCTCTAACGTCGCTCGCCGGAAGAACCGCTTGTAACCCCACATGGACCCTCGGTACTTGAGCGTGTACGGTCCAGATTCAAGCGCGCGGTCGAAGTGCGAATGGACTTTATGGCGACCGCGACCGCTTTGATCCAGCATCGTCAGCTCGAACAACGCACGGACGTCCGTCCCCTCACTTGCAAGTGCGATGAAGAGCGAAACATACTGCGAGTTATCCTCCGCGTTCTTCCCATCAGGGTAAAAGTAAATAGCCCACTTGTAGCCTCCGACGGTGAACGTGTCGCTGGACATGTATTTGCCGACTCCCATGCCCTTGGCGAGAGAGTAGCCGGTGATGTTGAACTGGTGACTGCCATTTACCGTCTTGGTGATGCTCCGGGACTTGGTCGGACTGCCTGGCGGATCCTTCGCCGGCATCCTTATTAACGTGGAAAATATTTCAGTGAAGAGGTGTAAGAGAGAGAGACGGAAACACTAAGAGAAAACACTAAGAGACGGCAACACTAAGATATCACTTCTCAAGTTAAGACGCGGCCTAGTATGAAGCAAGAACCAGCGGATTCTTTTCTGGGAAATAAGAAACTGACACGAGACCGTCCACCCGCAGCAAATCTCACAACCCTATCGAGCCTGCCAAGAACAAGACAAAGCCGTAGGTAATAAAGCTAGGCAGGACCTGGGACGGTGACTGAGATGAAGTACTGAAAAATATCAAAAGGTGGAGTGGAAGCTAGTAGACCTGCAAGCTTGAAGTGAGGGTTGCAAGAAAGAAACAAGTGGACGGACGGAAATAAGGAGGAAGCGTATGGACGTGCTTCGAGATAAGGAGCCCCGTGAAACCCTAGGCACAGAGGGATGCAGCACAATCGCATTCTTGATAACAACAAAGCGGCGACAACAACAGGGTGCCATACGGTGAGTAACGTTTCCAGTAGGTTCTATCAGGCGCATTTCACAGAGCATCCTCTTCGGCACGTCTGACGCATGCACGGTCTGGGATGGATGTCCCTAGCCGAGGGATGTTGCGGCTGGGATTTGAGTGGCTGTGTGAGCCACCGCACCAGAGAGGTCTGGCACGGACGCAGACTGACAGGCTGAGGTGGGGAGGTGGATGGGGTGCGAAGGATGGATGAACGCGGAATTATGCAAGAGCGAAGAACGCGGCAACATCTGCAGACGAACTTTGAAATAACTGGTATTATTGAACATAAGCGGTGTAGATGGCACTACTACAGATATTTTAGCACTTGAGATACCATTTGCAACACATCCAACTCCAGCAATGCTTACCAAACAGTGTCCCAACTCCAACATCTTGTGCCAACCCATTGTAGCTTGGTGATAATGGCATAAGCAGTACGGGAACCTCACCAGCGGTATCACAACTAATTGCCTGACCCCACCACCTAGATCACAAGCTAGGCTCGGACACATCAATTACCAGCTCCACTGGTACAGGCAATGTATCCCATCCACCGTCTTGCACATTTTCCCTCTCATCCACAGGAACATCCTCTGCAGCGGTAGGCTCAACATAATCAACTGGAACATCCTGTCCACTCGCCAACCCTGGAGAACCGCTCTGATAATCCCCCAGACCTGAATTTCCCAAGCCTGTACTTTCCAGACCCGTATTTCCAGGACCCGTATTTTCTGAAACTGTATCTTCGGATGCTGAATTATCTGGGCTTGCATTTTCCAGATCTGCATTTTCCAGGCCTGCAATACCCACTGCTCGCCTGGACTTGCGCTTACGACCGACGTTTGCGAATGGCTGCTCACTTGGATCCTCTGCACAATGCAACAGAAACACGCGATCCAGTAAAGTGATTGACCCAGACGAGACCTAAGTCAGTGCAAGGTGAACAAATTGGTAGACAGAGCAGAGCATGTAGCCAAAAATGTTCCTCCCATACTGTATTAGGGGCACATAGCACGAAACACACTCACCTCTAGCTGCCAGCTCCTCATAATTACATCCACGCCGAGCCCCCCCCCAGCCGAACTTTGAAGTTTCGGTCTTCGCCTTGGAGAAATCCAGACCGTCTACAGTTGCTGGATCAACGGCCATGATCTCGAGAACATTCGGAAGCCGGAAAGTCACAGGCTCGTAACCATCAGACTCGTCGTCCTCTTGGCTTGCTCCCTTTTTCTTCCTCCTGCTCGCCCTTTCTCTCCTAGGCGCAGCCTTCTGCTGAAAGCCTGGCGCAAAGTTGAAGTATAAATTGCTGCTGCTGTTGCTGGTGCCTGGTACTTGGCCTTGCGCGAGATTAAAGTACGGGTTGCAGCTATTGCTGCTACCTGGTACTTGGCCTGGTGCGACATTGAAGTATGGGTTGCTCCTATTGCTCCCTGGTACTTGGCCTGACGTGAAGTTAAAGTACGGATTGCTGCTGCTGCTGCTGCCTGGTACTTGGCCTGGGAAATACTGGAATTGGCCTGGGTGGAATACGGTTGACTGGCCTGCTGGTGGGTGCACCTGGGCCTGGGTTGGGGGGGTGCTGACGCGCCTGGCCTTTCTGACGAGCTGGGCAAGATTCTCGCGAGCGTTGGAAATTGCCACGTCAGCGTTGTCTCCTGATGTGCGTGGGTTGGACAAGCACGGGGTGGGGAGGTAAGGAGTAAGGGAAGGGATGCTCAACGTCTCTATGTATGGGAGATTCTATGCAGTCAGAGAGAGCATAAAACGATATGAGGTTATGTTTATCCCTACAGGAAACAGAAAGTGTCCAATAGGAGCTGAGAGGGGATATTATGGGGGTAAACGGATGGAGTAGCCACCAGGGGGAGCGGGTTTGAGGAGGAGGAAGAGGTCAGAGAAGGTGGGTAGCGCTCCTCCTGACATCATGAACGATACTACATATGATAACGCCGAGATTACAATCTCGAGGTGACAATATTGAGGCGACAATAACGAGGTGAAGGTTGTGCCTACCAGCGACAGCGGCGCCAACGAAGAGTCGCTCGACGAGGTGCGGAGCGGCTTCAATGAGCAGGAGAAAGAGGTCGGAGTAAGTGGGTAGCGATCCTTTTGGCATGTACGCCGCGAGACCGCATCGCAGCACGTGCAGCGGGTCGCGAAGATCTTTGGCGACAAAGATGGTTCGACTAGGCTGAGCGGAGAGCGACTCGCCTACTGATAAAGGCTTGGGATCGGACGCCATGGGCGCGTTGAAGAGAGCCTTGAGGTGTTCTGATATTACAATGTCAGGCAATGAGCTTCGATGCTTCGAGAATGGAATATTACAATAACGCGTATCAGTGCTCTCTTGCTCCAGTCGTAGAACTCAGTGTTCTACGTGAACAACGCACTCGCTAGTGACTTGCGATAACCCGTTTGTGTGATTATGAGGGTCCCTTGGTGCTGTGAAGGGAATACTGTACGTTCTAGGGCGTGCTTGTCAACGCTGCCAACTTCGTGTCATTCCTTCCACGAATTCTGGCACAAAGGGAGAACTGGGAGGAGAAGGTTTGGGCTCGCCCTGCTTTATTATTCGCTCGTGGTGTTTTCGCGAGATACACGAAAAAGGTTGTTACCATGCTGGCCTTGAACCATGTCAAATGCAAGGCACGCGAAAACCATCCCTTTTCCGCTAAAGCGCCGTTACAATTTCTGATTCGCGTTCACGGAAGATGCTGCCTTGGACGCTATTCCACACGAGAATACTGCTTGTTGCAATTTCCTTTCCCATAAAACGCGGTTGAAGTCAGTTTTTCTGTTGCCACTCTACTCCCTCGCACCTCGAGGGTTCTTGACATCCATTTGGTGGATATGAAGACCAAGGTATGCGGCTATGGCGAGGAGGACTCGTACCGTGGTGTACTTCGCTACCGCGGTAAAGGTTTCGGTGAAGTCAAGACCTGGGATTTGGGAATAACCTTTTGCCACTAACCTTGCCTTGTACCTATCAAGGCTACCATCACCTTTCACCTTAATCTTGTACACCCATTTGACACCAATTACCTTCTTCCCTGGAGGTGGCTCAACAAGACGCCATGTACCTCGCTTCATGAGACTCTCAATCTCTTCTTCCTCGGCTTTCAACCAATGCTCTCTCTCAGGACTTGCCATTGCCTCACGACGACTCAAGGGCTCTCGTGGAAGGTGTGATGCTGCCATGCATATTGCCTCTACCTTCTTGTGAATGCAATTCTCGCTCTCCTCACATGTGCACCTTGATGACATGTCAACCATGAATGTGAAGGGCTTTTTCACCTTGCGGACTCGTTTACCTTTACCATACTCCTCACTTGGCTGAGACACATCAGTGGTAGGGTTCGGTCTCACAGTGCTTGGATGCGTTGATACGGTCATTTGCGGCTGAGACAACGGCTGCGACGGCGGCTGCGACGGTGGCACGGCTGCATGATCTTCTCCTGGCGTGGAACTCTCTCGATGATCGGTGTTGACTTGAGGAATAGGAGTGGTGGCTCGTGGCGGTGAAGCTGAAACGTTCGTCGGCATAGTTGGTTGTGAAAAAGCTCTTGGTGGGGATCGTGAGACTAGAAGCTTGGGAATTGATGATGACGCTGCGTTGTCGAGAGATGGTGATGGTTGGGGCTGGTTGGTGTTGTTGCTCGGTGTTGAAGATGGCGGTAACTGATGACGACCAAATCCGGGACGTGGGGGTGAAGTTGAGAAAGGTCTTGGGTGAAGAAGTGGGCTGTTGGAGCTGGTGTTGGTGGAGACTCGCTGAAGTGATCCTCGTGCTATGAGCTGGCTTGACGTTGGAAGTTGAAGTGATGAACGTGTGGTATGAGAACGAGGTGTTGCGGTGACGGTTGACTTGTTGCTAGGAAGAGTCGTAGATGGTGTTGATGTAGGTACTTGGGAACTTGTAGCTGTTGGTTGCTGCTGCATGGGATGACGATGAGCTTCTGTAATTGCCTCTGGAGTGACGGCTGATGATGGGTTTGGTGGCGTAGTGGTGGGCTGATCCGGTTGGCGTTGAACTTGTGAGGTTGGTGTTGAAGTAGCTGGCTGGTTTGTGAATGTTGGCTGCTGCTCCTTTGGCGGTGATGGAACGGTGACTTCCTGAGGTGGATGGTCTTCATTTGATAGCTGAACTTCATCTCCACTTGGTTGTGTAGCTGCTGGTGGCGCTGGTGTGGCACGGCTGGTCTCGTTGCCGACGGCTTGAGGGAGATCGATGATCGGTCCGCTATGGTCAGAAACGTTGTCATCTTCCTCCTCTTGTGTTGTTTCCTCAGGTGCTCTTGCTGGTTCCTGTTGGATAGAGGGTGGTAGAGAGGAGGAAGAGGAATACTTGTGCCAATCTGCAAGGGACATGTCTTCATAGAAGACAACATCCCTTGAAACCACTTCTCGCTTGGTGACGGGATCCCAAAGGACCCATCCCTTGCTCTCATTGCTCATGCCGATGAAGAGGCCCCAATGCGCTTTGCTGTCCAGCTTGAGTCGTTTTGCATCTGGGACACGGTATTGGGCCATGGAACCAAAAACACGGAGCATAGACAGATCTGGTTTAACTCCAAACCAAGCCTCATATGGCGTTACACCATCCGGTAGAGGCCTTGTTGGCCTTCTGTTGCGAACATAGATTGCCATAGTGATTGCCTCACCCCACCAGAGCTTGTCAAGGCCCTTAAACTGAAGAAAAGTGGTAGCTATAGCTTGAATAGTGCGATGAAACCTCTCTGCCACTCCGTTTTGCTGAGGACTATAGGGACAAGTGAATTGTTGCTTGATGCCCAATGACAACAACTCCCCCTGGAACGCTTTTCCCATGTACTCACCTCCTCGGTCCGACCTCAAGGTGAGTAACTTCTTCCCTGACTCTCTCTCAACAAGTGCTAGCCATTGCTTGAAGCACTTATGAACTTCATCCTTGGTGTTGATGAAAAAGGACCATGAGAAACGACTCTTGTCATCAATGAAAGACACCAAATATCTCTTACCGTTTCGAGTAGGGTCTCGCATGGGGCCGAACACATCAGTGTGGACCAACTCTAGGAGGTCCCTTGACTGAGACTTTGAAGGGAAAAATGGCTTTCTAGCTAGCTTACCTTCGACACAAGATGGACATGGAACGGTAGAAAGAGACTTGACTGCACTTTCACTCAAAGTAAGTCCTTCCACGCTCTTGTGACTTACTAACTCTTTGAATGCTTGCATCCCCAAGTGCCCCAAGCGTGCATGCCATACCTCGGCTTGGGAGATACTCCCTTTGTTGTTGACTTGATCGGTTGAAACAGCGGGAAGCGAGACAACGTCGTTCTTCGTGTTGCTAGAACCGCGCTTAATCTCCAACTTCATCTTGTAGAGACGCCCGGTACGCTCGCCTTCAGCCACCAAATTTCCTGCACTATCCCACACTTTGGCTTTCCCCCCTTGCAAAAGAACAGAGGCACCTTTCTCTTCAAGTTGTCCAGCTGAGAGCAAGTTTGCTCCCAAATCAGGGACAAACAAAGCTTTATTGACACAAAAAGACTTACCATCCTTTTCAAACTCAAGCTTGCCGACTCCTTTGATAGGGACTTTGCCAAGATCGGCAAGAGTCACCGCTTTTGAGTCATATGAGGGCTGAAAATCCTTGAGAATGGATTGACAGGGAGTCATGGTCTCAGAACAGCCACTATCAAGAATAAACTCCTCACTACTAGTAGAGAAAACGTGCATGCAAGTAGCAGCGTTGAAAAGGACAGGACCGTCAGAATCTTTGGACTCATTTTGACTTGTAGAATGGCTTGCTATATTTGCTATAGCCGCCTTACCCTTTTCAGAAAGTAGCTGAGGTGGAGGGACCCAATTAGGAGGCTTCTTAGGACAAGCATACCACGGATGACCCCACTCATGACAACAAAAACACTCAAAATTAAACTTTGTAGCATTTGAGGCTTGGCTGAAATTATTGACTCTTGGCATATTGACTCGTGGATTTCTAGGCTGATATTGATTGGGAATTGAAGGCCTTGGCTGGACATAGGGACTTGACTTATAGGGAGGACTTGACTGAGGAAAACGAGAGGGTTTGTATGGGTTGGAAGGTGACTGAAATTTCGTACCATAGTAAGGTTGAGGGCGGTTTGGGCTGCAATTTCCTTGCCTCT